GGTTGTCCTTGTCCAGTTTCTGCTAGTACTTACCTGTCTCTCACGATGTGCTCGTTAGCTGTGGCCTTGTATGCGATGTACTCATTAGCTTCGGCCTTGTATGTTTGACACATGCTTGATTAGTCCAGCATTTTATCTTACAACTATTTACAACAACGTCATGCTCAGCATATAAAGCTGGGGGAAGAAGGAGGAAGGGGGACACATTTGGAGTGATGGTGTTTGCCTTCCCAAGTTATGGTTACGCAGGATGGAGCCCTGCTTTCCTGGAGGTGGCTGAACACCTGCCTGCCGATGGGAAATAGTGAATGAATTCCTTGTTTTGCTTTGCTTGCGTGTGCGGCTTTTGCTTTCCCTATTAAACTGCCTTTATCTCAACCCACGAGTTTTCTCACTTTTCCGACTCTCTCCCCCATTCCACTGAGGGGAGTGAGTGAGCAGCTGTGTGGTGCTTAGCTGCTGGCTGGGTTAAACCACGACACTCGCATATCTTGTCTGCTAAGTGATTATTGAGACAACTTTTCCCTGTGCAGATGCTGTCAGCAGTGTTACTGTGTACATACAGTAATTTGCTTTGCACCTCATACACTGCTAGAGCTTGTCAGTAGGGTTTGGTTGCCATACTTCTGAAGCTGTAGTTTCGCAGAGCTTTGTGATGGAGCAGAGCAGTGGAAGACAGTTTTAAACTCCACTACAGTGCAGGAGGCCATAATAATAGAGTTTCTACCAAGGCTCTCTGAGACTCTTCAGGCTGATAAATGTAAAATGCTACTGAAAAGCAGTCTTGTGGTAACTCATGTTCACGTGTTGACCATAGTTTACTTTTCACTGTGTTTCAGTTCTGATGTTAAGATTCTACTTCAGTTGCCTTGCAGTTTTTGTCTTGCGGAGAATGTGAACTGGCAGAATAAAGTACATGGCTTTATAGATGTTCCAGCCTCTGGCGGTAGCAGGCATAAAGACATAAAAGCTAAAATATGTTCAAACAACCCATTGCTTTAAATTCAAGTTTATGAGAAAAGACTCCTCACGCCTTTCATGCTGGGGGATCTAGTCTTAGGAATGAGAACTGTGTGACATATCTTTAATAGCTTCTTTGCTGTCCTAGTTATTTTTTGTTTATCTTTTTCCTCCTTTTCCTCTTTTTTCCCACCTTAAACAAAAACAAAAAAACCAAAACCAACCAGACCAACCCCCCTGCCTTTTGACCAAAAAAGACTTAGGACTGTCTCAGTTAGTTTTTGCTTGTTAGCAAGGTACACCAATAGTGGTATATCTGTGTTATTTCTAGAACTACGCTTACCTCTGGATAGGAAATTTTTCCTACCTTCAATGTTTTTTCCTTTCCAGAGTTAACTTTTCTTTTTAGTCACTTTCACTTCTCCTTTCAATATCACATAATTTTTAAACTTAAGACCACAATGCAGCCTATATTGTGGTTACACGGGCAGTTAGGTTTTTTTTTTAAATTTAGAAAAGAATAGTTTTTAATTAATATTTCTGCAATCTTTTTGTACCCAGTATTTAATTATTTTACAGTTGTTTCTTTTTAGATTATGTGTCTGAAATAGTTTTCCTCATTTTCGGTAGCACTGTGCTATGATTCTATGAATACATTGTTGTTTGAATTAATGAGCTGGTTAGAGATTCCCTGTTATGTTCTTGTATAGTGTAGTAAAAAAAAATCTAGCTTTCTCCTTTGAGTGCCCAGAAGTATTTAACTGCACTCTATTTTCTTCTCACTCCTTATTGCCTTTGAACTCTAACTCTGGATAATCTACTCTGAGTTCCATCAGTGCATCAAACAGATATTAGTTTGGAGAATTTCAAAGAGATTTTACTGTGGAAGTACTTTGTATCAAGACCATATGAAACACTATTTATTCTTTGGTTAATTTTAACCTTGACCCTACAAACACCTTAAGGGAAAAGTTTGTCCCTTTCAGAAAATTATTGTCCTAAAGCACTGTTCCTGTATGGGTCTATATGTATTTATTGGTAAAATAAATACAAAAAAATGTCAGACATCTTTAGAAAAGATTGAAGGTCAAACCAACTTTAAACTGTAGTGGTGCTTTGTATGAAAGCTAACTTTACATATTCCCCATGGGTTAGCCTGATTTAAAATATTTTGATGTAACATGGGAGATTATTGAACTATATTTTCGCTGTTTCCTCCTCCGTGCACTTGGATTGCCAGCAGCATCAGTGGTAGATTTCATTACAACCAAGCAATGAAATTTCTGTTCTTTCTGCAGAGTGCTTTCTGTGGACCATGAAATTATTCGCATGTATGGAATATTGAGACGTATTAAATTTTTTGAAGCACTATCAATATATAATTCAGAAGAGAACTGTATGTAGCATACCCACACTGTACTGCTATGGAGGTCTTGTTGTGAATTTCCTTTTTTTAATCTATGGAAATCTTATTTTTAGGCTGCGTTGTTTTAAACTATTTTAAGTAATTTGTTTGGCACATATTAAATGTGCTTATAATCCTAGTATCTCACTTTGTCTTGCGTGTTCTGCCTTATCAAATGTATTTCAAGAGTGTGCTTCCCTCCTCTAGGACAAGTGATATAGGATTTGGTGAATATGGGGAATATGAATGTTATGGCCTAATCTGTAATGTTGCAAAACATCTACCATACAGTCTAACATTCAAGAGGATCTAAAAACAAAGCATAAACTAAAAATGTGAACAAGTGAAAGGAAGTGAAATACCCCTTTTCAAGGATGAACTGGCTCTCATCCCTGAACCGGTGCTGCCTGTTCCTAGCGGAGCAAGAGTAGCTCCGGGACTGCATGGGGTATTTCATGGCAGAGACTGGGGTGGTTCTGCCTGGCCAGAACTGCTATTGCTGCTGCTGTGTGGAGCAGGGGAAGGAAGAGGGGACGCTTGGGGAACACAGACTGTAAGGAAGAGGCTGAGATTTTTCAGGAGAGATGGGTAAGGGGTGTAGGGCACGCCTCTCTCAAACCTAATTTAGTCAATTCTCTGCTGACTGAACCATGGGCTGAAATCTGTTATTTCAGCCGAAGTGTCTTCCCTCTACCCCTGTTTCAAGCGTGTGTATGAAGAATCTTCAAATATAATGGTTTGTTTCTTAGGTTACACACTTGATAGTGAACAGTGGGGCATGGAGAACCTACTAGCTAACTCATTCTTTGGAGCAGGTGTGCTGCCTTTCATCAGTGCTCTGTGAAAGCCATTGTTTGAGGAGAAAAATCTCATATAATAAGATTTTTTTAAGATTCTAGTCTAGTCATTGCAGTTTGCAATCTGGCTTCATCCCCCCATGCTTGCCATAGACTTCTGATTTTAAAGACGGAAAAGGAAATTGCTGTCTGATCAAGATGCAAGATGGTTTTTGCCACTGATGACACTATACTGCATTTCCAATGATGTTACCCTCCCTTTTGCTTTTGTTGCATTCTCTTTCTTACTGGGTCTTGCCTATGTAATTATTCCTGTAGAGTGTGCTTTCCTCATTGCCTACTGGTTTGATGTGACACTGAAGGGCCCCATCATTCATGCTGAGCTCTCTTATGTTTATGCCATATTAATTTTCTGCTTTTGCATGTTCTACAACCATCTGTATGTGAGTGGCTTACAATCTATTTCTGCATTCCAAAACCTGCTCCTTTTCAATTTTGAACAGGAAGAATTAAAGTCTTTTTGTTTTTCCTCTAAACCTCTCTTCATGGATGTCTAATAGTCAATTCTTGCTCTGACTAGAGTGGAACACTTGTACCCAATTTTTGCTACTAATTTTCTTTGTTGTCTCTGATCTTAATTCCACAGATGCTATAGTAACTTTACTTGTCATTTAGTTCGGTAACTTTGATGTACTTATTAAGTCATATCTCAAGATACTTATCTTCAAGATATATTGAAGCCTCAGAATATTTTTGTATAGCATTTCAAAGATGTAAGTCTGTTGATATGGCTGAAATCTTGTCCAAAATCTCTTATGCATCAAATGCTACCGTAACTTTCTTCTGTGTTGACAAGTGTAATATTGCTGTTCACATCTGTTCAAAAGGCTGCTACTAAGATGATTAAGATTTAGCGCATCTCATTGAGTATGTCAGCTGCTCTTGTGTTCTGTTGGTCCTTGCCCATATACATTAAAACACACAAGCTCTAACAATGAAAATGTTTAAAATTTAATTTAGCAAGTCTTTATTGAAAAGTTGATAAATATCTAACCAGTAAAAAAACCCCACAACCCAAACCACTTTTTCAAAGAAGTTTTTTTGGCTTTTGAAAGGGTAAAGTCAGAGCAATTGTTTTGTTTTGGTTATAAATCCTAAGGATTATTCATGAAACCATGAGTGTATCCTACTTAACTTTAATAAAGGAGCTGACGGGTTTTATGCTTCTCCTAAATGAATTTCGAAATAATTCGTGCACAGAAAGGCAGTAAGTTTGGATAACATAATCCAACTAAAAAATAAATAGAACAGGGTCTTAGTTATGCTAACTTGTCTTTTAATAAAAAGTAGTTTCTTTGCATATCTGTGTATTCTATTACAATGTCAGGACTACAGCTGTTTCCGAGAAACAAAAACCATTTTAAAAATATGCTTTTGTTAAATAAGCCTGCTTTTTCATATTCTACATGTAATGGTTGGGAAGAACTCTTCACAAATTGGTTTTGTAGATATCTTTTCCTCCAAACTTTCCATAAAATTCTCATGTTCTGCATGATTTCTCCATAATGTAATGGGATTCTGGCCTGTTAACTCAAGTGCTAAGGCAATGGACCATTACATGTATCTTTAGGAGAACCCTTTAAAATAAGACAGTTAAATAACAGGCAAGTTACCACAGAAAAATAAGGATGTTTAGCTTTCAAGAATACCCATCTTAATTAGGGTTATACAGAATGGAAACAGTATGTGATATGTTATACCTGTTCTTTTTTCAGTTGGATAGATTTGCCAGTATAAGAATTCCAGGAAGTAAAAAGGAAAGACCTCCTCTGCTGCATATGAAGCAGTCACATTCTGCAGATTGGTCATCCACACCTATGGATGCGGAGGATTTTGCTCCAAAACCCCTGTCGGAAAGAGAAATCATTGCGCTGTTTGAAAAAATGATGGTAAGAGTCTTACGCTGATTTCTTTTACTTAAAGAATGATAACATGGCTAACTGACAGATGGAGCCTTCTTTTGTGCATGTGTTCTGATCTTTACCTGAATTATTAATGTTATTGTTGTTGTGAGTTGTAATTACATGTTTTTTAGGGTGTTTCTCAAGGGATGAAGTCTTTGAATTATTTTGACAAGATTTTGCTCCAAATATATTTAAAATGGAAACTAAAGGTTTCTGATTATTAGAAGTGAGATTATGCAACAGATTTTGAGGAAGAACAAGAAATGGGGAATCCTGCTTGCTTTCAAGGTGACCTGAAACTTTTACAGCACAGCAGGGTTTTGTTCTGAACTTATATTCCATGTCACTCTTGCACAAAAAAGACTTAAGGTTCTTGCCTGCAAAACAGTATTTGTCTGCACATACAGTCTCAAATTTACTTTGTTTCTTAGCTGTTATGGTTAGTGTGCTACAGAAGAGCAGTCACTTGGTGGAAATATCATGTGGCATTGGTACCAGCCTCAGTAGGTTGAGGTTTTTTGTCATGATGATGATGAGATTTTGGGCAATTGAAAACTAAACATGGAATGGCCATGAAAGAAGAGAGTGACTGCAACCTGAAGAACACAAGAGGACATTAACAAGGAGAGTGATGCCTAGGTTATTGTTTCTTTCTCTGCCTCACAGCAAGTAACAAGTAACTCTTGAAGCACAAAGGGACTACCAGGGGCTGGGATGTGGAGGAAATTAAATGTGCTATGAGAGAAGTACCTTTATGGAATTTGTAATTCCTAGTACTCAGTAGTGTTAGTTTAGTTTTGAAGATGCTTTTGTAGAACTGTTGAGAGCTATGACTGAGAGATAGGATTCAGGATTTTCATGGTTAAGCTGATGAAGGGGAAGACTAATTTGCTGTGTTGTCAAGTTTTGTATTTGTACTTGTTGTTCTCACATGGTCCATTTTTCTTGGTATACCTTGGTGTTTAGGATGTTTTACTTCTGTTAGAAATTTCACTGTGAATGGTAGATGCTCAAATGTTAGGAAACGGGAGGGTTTTTTTATAAAACTTGAAGGTATGCATCCCTGCGCACACCCCCTGCTACATAAGCGTAGGTTGTATTTCTCTGCCATCCCACAGAGATTCTGGTATATGATAGTGTGTGATGTTGAGACTATGCCAGAAACCTATCCTCAGAAACCTACTACTTTGTGTCTAGGTAAACAGAAATGCTTATATCCATGGATCCTGAAGAAATTCATTCCGATTTTAAAACTACTTTGCAAAAATATGTTAAAGTAATGATGACATCCTGGATAATTTGAATGCTTTCCTAGTTTTGTTTAATAACAAAGCACTTACTGTCTTTGATAAACTACTTTATCGGTGTTATTTTAGCTATAACATGTAATATGGAAAGGATTCTTCAGATTATCCACACTTGAATGGACTGGAATAAAGCTAGTTTAGTCGCAGTAGATTACATAGGTAATTGTATATTGTAGCCTCTAATTTGTTGTTCTGATCAAATTTTAAGTGATTTGGGGGGGTAGGGTAGTGAACAATTTGAATGTTGTAGCCAGGCTTAGAGCTAATTTTGCACAAAATAAAAATAGTCACTTGATTAGTACTGAAGGGAGCAGTTTCTAAATTCTGAAGTTTCACTGGATGCGTTACATTATACTTTGGGTTTTTGTGGATGCATACTGCGTCCTTTTCCCAATCTTCTATGCAGTGGCATCCTGTGTGGTTTTGATGGCAAAAATTGTGAAAGAGCTCATAAAACCAGAGAGTTAAAGCTAATAATTAATTGTCATTTAGCTCTTTTTATTTCTGTTAGTGCTATTAGGAAAATATCCATATGAAATGACTTATTCTTATTTTTCAAAGAGGCATTACTCACCTGTAGAATAACTTTAAATTATTTAAGAAGACATAAAAGAATGGAGTTGAAGTATTTTATAAACTAAGCCACATCTGACGTGCCCTTAGTACCACTGAATACTTCTAATCTGTGTAAATCAATTGCTTTAATCATGTTTCATTTGTTAAAAACAACAACAAAGAAATTACCTTTTACTGCACACACAGAATGTTTCTTGTAAATAAACCTGCTGTTACATCTAGGATTATGGAATATAGTTTGTACTGATAGGTTTCTTCCTTGTCCTTTTTTTTAATTTTTTTAACTGTGATTAGAAGTTAGATTTCCCCCCCCCAGGAAAAACAAGCTCTTTTTTTCCTCTCTGTTCAGAAGTTATTTTTCAGAAAACTTAAAAGAGCAAGTGTCCAAAGAAGGGCAGTGAAGCTGGTAAAGGGTCTAGAGTACGAGTCTTATGAGGAGCGGCTGAGGGAGCTGGGGTTGTTTAGCCTGGAGAAAAGGAGGCTGAGGGGAGACCTCATTGCTCTCTACAACTACCTGAAAGGAGGTTGTAGCGAGGTGGGTGTCGGTCTCTTCTCACAACTAACAAGTGATAGGATGAGAGGAAATGGCCTCAAGTTGCACCAGGGGAGGTTTAGATTGGACGTGAGGAAAAATGTCTTTACTGAAAGAATGGTTAAACATTGGAAGAGGCTGCCCAGGGAAGTGGTTGAGTCACCATCCCTGGAGGTATTTAAAAGACGTGTAGATGAGGCGCTTAGGGACATGGTTTAGTGGTGGACTTGGCAGTGTCAGGTTAACAGTTGGACTTGATGATCTTAAGGGTCTTTTCCGACCTAAACAATTCTGCAAGTCTGAAAGAAGTGCAAAACTGCTTTAAAGAGAAAAATGAACTTTGCAGTAGCTACAGGCTAATGTGAAAGGGGGTTTTTTGTTGTTTTTGTTTGTTTTCCTTCCCCCTTAGGTAGGATATACATGTACTTCAATGATATGGAAAAAAAACCCCAAACCTGTGGCATATTGCAGGCAAGGTACTGAAGATGTCATAGCTCTCAGAAAACATCGAGAAAGACCTAGCCATATATTTTTGTGAAACTTAAAATGGGATATTTGGTTCCAGTGTTCTTACATTTCTGTTTATGTAGGTTTTAAAAATACAATTTAAGTGTTAAATAAAATACAGCCACCCTTATTAAATATACATGTAAGTGTATTTTCATTTGAAGCCAGTATTGCTATACAATTGTATCCCTGTGGAAAGGATTCCTGAGGCACAACGTTCCAAAGACATTTATTGGAACTTGCAGAAAAAAACAAATTTATCTGGTAATGTCAAGCTGGACTTGATTTTAATAATTTATAGTATGGGTTGTCATGTGCGTATCTCAGCAGATGTGTTGCCTGGTAATAAGAATAGTCATAAATATGCTGTTGTGCATTTAATAAAAGGTAATTGATTAAACTGAAATATTACATAAAATGAGAAATACCTGTAACAAGATAAGATAACAAATGAAAGGCTAGAGGGAATACTAACATTGTAGTATTTTTGGCAATCTGACTTGATTTCGATCCCCCCCCCCATTTTAAGCTAAGGAAATGTCTTAGACAAGGCATAAAGATTTTTGAGCACTTGTTGAGAATTTGAAGTTGTAGTATTTTTCTGGCTTTGAAAGAATTTCTTATTGAAAAAATATTTAAAGAAGTAAATCGAAAAGAACTTCCTTATCTGTTCTTACCTTAAATGCCTTTTAACAGTCCCCAAACTTTTATGTCCAAAACCATGTATCAGTGTCAGAATTCATTTATGAATTGTAAAAGTCCTGGCTAGTTATGTAATTACCTGCTAAATGCTTGACTAGTAAATTAAAATATTTAGATTGATTAGTTGTCTAACTGGTTTAAATTTTTAGGTTTCCACCTGACCATTTAACAGCATGCTTAACAACCTTCCTGTACCATTCCTTTGAGCAGATGATTACTCTGTAGGTTTTTGATTTTGAATACTAAAGACACTAGTTTTTGTGGTTGATTATGTGTTCTTCCTCATCTTAAAAAAGCTGCAGTGTCTTTAAAAAAGCTGTGACAGAGACAGGTAACTTTACACCATTTGGAAAAAAAGTGATACACACACAAAAATTTTTCCACTTTATGTGTCTTAGAAGAAAATGATGTCTTTGCTTACAATATATGATCCCAACAGTGTTGTATGTGTATTTAAGCCTGTGTGGTGGGTTTTTTTGGTTTTTTGTTTTTTTTGTTTTTTTTTTTAAATTTTAGTATGGATGTTTGAGTCCATGCAGCATTTTTGGATCACACCAGGTTTCCCATAATTAAGTAAATCATAGTAGTTTCTTTTCTTGGATGAAAGCAAAGCAATCTAGAAAATGCAGCATACCTGTTGTGGTTTAACCTGGCAGGCAGCCAAACACCACACAGCTGTTTGCTCACTCCCCCTCTCCCCCCAGTGGGATGGGGGACAGAATTGGGAAAAAAAAAGTAAAATTCGTGGGTTGAGATAAAGACAGTTTAATAGGACAGAAAAGGAAGGGAAAATAATAATAATAAAAAAAATAATGATAAAAGAATATACAAAATAAGTGATGCACAATGCAATTGCTCACCACCCACCAACTAATGCCCAGCCAGTTCCTGAGCAGCGGTCACCACCCCCCTGGCTAACTCCCCCCAGTTTATATACTAAGCATGATGTCATATGGTATGGAATATCCCTTTGGCCAGTTTCGGTCAGCTGTCCTGGCTGTGCCCCCTCCCAGCTTCTGGCTGGCAGGGCATGGGAAGCTGAAAAGTCCTTGACTAGTGTAAGCACTACTTAGCAACAACTAAGACATCGGTGTGTTATCAACATTATTCTCATCCTAAATCCAAAACACAGCACTGTACCAGCTACTAGGAAGAAAATTAACTCTATCCCAGCTGGAACCAGGACAATACCCTTTCAAGATAATGTTGCAGACATCTGCTTTAATATGAGGCAACTTGCAAAATGTTCAGGAATACGTGTGTCCTCATGCACTGCTAGAATTTTGGTTTGGGCATAAGCAAATAGTTTCTCTATGAATTTTTTGATCAAAGGAATACAGTATTTTGAAGAACAGAACTATGAGAAAAGATTGAAGTATGTGTGGCCTCCTTTCTTCCAGCTTGTTTAGACAAAGTTGTTTTGCATTTACTTTCAGATGTAGGAAGTAACACCAGTATACAAGCTAGCTGCCAAGGAGGCAAAATACTGTATTATTGTTGCTTGAATGAAAGAACTTTTTACAACATGCACCCTGTACTTATTTGATACTAAAAATATAAAATAAGAATATAGTGTGTATATATATAGAATCAAATATAGAAATCTAATACTGTAAATACACTATATTGTATCAAATAATAAAAATACTAATTTAACAATAATTTAATAAATAATAAGTAATAATTTAAATGCATACTAGACTAAGTGAGGAATTTTTTCTATTCCTTAAGGAGGGGAAACAGTAACATTTGGGGGGTGGTGGAATCCAGAATCTACACAAAATTGCCCTAATTTTACTTTGAAGAAGTTCAACTTAAGCAGTCAAGCATTTTCTGCAATGTCTTCTCACAGCTCGGATTTATACAAAACTCTAAGTGTTTCTAGGAACTATGCTTGATTCTATCCTATTCAGTATGAAAACTAGCAAAAGACAAGGGAACTTAAGTTTCAGTGGAGTATAAAATTTTGGTCTTTAGTTTTTTTTTTTCTTAAAACCCTAAGGTTATGAGTTTGCTTGCTGTTTGTCTTTGATTTCTCACTAGGTGAAATAGCTTTGATATCAAGATGGTTACCCACTGATTTGGTAGCATTGCTTCTGCCTAAGCTGGTGGGGATTCACCTCTCGAGTCTCAGCTGAAAATAACTGCAGTAATTCTTGCTAAGCTTCGGTGACCATAGTAATGCTGTATGTGCTCCTATGTGTGTGTGTCTAAATTGTTTCTTTAAAGCGCCCCCCCCTTTTTTTTTTTTACCTCCAGGATGATAGGAAATGTCATTTCTCACAGATGTGAAACTGATTACAATGATCAGAGCATTTCTAGGCTGGAACAGTAGAAGTCCCCGTGTCAGAAATGTCAATGAATAGCTGCTGTGTGGCTTTGAATGTGGTTCTGCATCTGCTCTTTTTGACCTCTGGGTTTGTGTTGGAATGAATGAATTGTGATGGGGTTTTGATAACAGTTGAAGGTGTTGATTTAATGATCAAATTGTCAAGAATTTGGGCCATACCTATTGGAAAGGTGAATATTATTTTGTGAACTACTCTCAGGGTAAAGCAGGTTCCACTGCCCAGGATTAAGTATTTGGGAACTGAGGAACAGAGTTAAAGAACAAATGGACATATTAAAAAGATCTTTCTAAGAGACAGGTTTGAGTACATTTATAAATGCTTTAGGAAGTGTTAATACTCTTCTGTAGTTTAGTATGTGTGTGTGAAACTGTAGGTGATTTCTAAGAAGAGATTATGCTAGTAAAGGTTGTGATGCACTTGTTTATCCTGGCATAGTTGACTGGCTTTTTTAGTCTGAGTTGCTAGGGAAGATGGATAAAGATTTTTATGGTTTTGAGTAACATCTAACTTACGAAAATTTGTTTGTATAGCAGCTTTCAGTTGCTCAAGTTCCTATTTTTGTGTCTTTATTTTTTCAAATCAGTCTCTTATAGTTAAACAACTGTGTTGCTGGATGACATTTAAAACTTTTTTCTTTTCCACCCCCCTCCCATTCTAGGAAGATATGAATTTAAATGAAGACAAGAAGATGCCATTGAGAGAAAAGGATTTTAATACCAAAAAAGAAATGGTGATGCAATATATTAGCACTGCTTCGAAGTCTGTAAGTAAATTTCTCTGAAGTACACCAAAAATGACTTAATGTTTAAATTATTTCCTATTGGAGAGAAAAAGTGATGCATGCGTGTTACATTCTTTTGACTAACTTTTGTTTCTCATAGACCCAAACATTTTTCAAGGGCAGTATCTCATTATTTTACAAGCTGCAATGAAAGATATTCACTTGTACTTTAGGTGTGTCTTTTGTACACAGAACAGCATTTCTTTTTGGTAAAGGTATGGCTACTAGTGGACATGGAAAGATTCTGTAGAAAACTTCTTGGAAAAGTTTGATGTGAACCTTTTTTCTTTTCTAGCACTGCTTAAAAAGAATTCCTTAACTGATTAGCCTTTTTCATACTTGACTTCAGTACAAGTCAAGACACAGGCATGTTGTGATGCTATGTAATAGTTGATAACGGAAGTGTTGCACATGAACCCAATTAGTATCCATTTTTTACTTATTGTGATAGTTACTGGTTGTTTTAGAGGAGTGCAAGGAGTTGTGTACTGGGCAGTTGAAGCATTAAGTTGGCATGAGAATCTATTCCAGTTTTTGCAAAGTGGGGACTGACTCCAGCGCTAAATGCTGCAGTGCTAATATTGTCCTCAGACCTTTTGATTGTTTAAGAGTTCATATATTTGATTCTTTGACTGTCACTTCTCCATGCATGTAGAGATATGAGTAAAAATTGTTCATATGCAATTAAATACTGAGAAAAGAAGACATTAAATATAGTCATTTAAATGAGGTATTTATCTTACTGTCTTCTTTAAATGATGTACCTTATTAGTATAATACTCTAGCGCTTTTAGGAAAGTAGATGCCCAGTGCAGGACCGAACTGTCTGGAGATTGTTTTATTTAAGATGAGCTTATCAAAGCTACTAGTATTTCTATAGCATAAAAGTTCCTTAGTACCGGAAGATTAGGAGGTCTAGCCTGTTTTTCTTTTTTAGAGATATTTCATGGGAAATCAGGAAACTTCAGGCTAGTAAATCTCACAAGATTCTTGAAGTTTCTCAGTCCAAAACAGCATGTCAAGCTTTATATGACATTGACACCCCTAGCCTTCACACACATTTTAAGACCTCAGTTGTGTGATCTAAAAAGTAATGTGATAATAGGACATGGCTGGCTGTGCAGAGTTGCTGCATCCGCATCGATTGCCGGAATATTAGCATCACGATGATGGTAATGTTAAAACTGTCTTTCTCAAGAGAAAGGTTTTCACGTTAGCCCTTTATTTTCTGGCACTTAATACATGCAAAGAATTGAAGCCTATAGCAGGGTAGGTTTCATTGATCCTTCTTTCTGAGTGCCATTTGCAGTAAATATTTTTTCTTTTTTGTCTTTGGTCGTCATCACACTTGCTTTTTGGCAATGGAGCTTCTTGCACTATGCCCAGGGCAGCCATACAAGCTACTCTGTTGAAGAGGACAGGTCTGTTTCCTCCCCCAGGGTAGTGATTTGTTCCCACACACTGTTGTCTTGCATGTTTTCATAAAGCCCCCAACAGAATTTTTTCCTTTCCGTTCCCCCCTCTGCTGCCAGCCCACCTATTCCCCTTTCTGCTGTGGGAGATCACTGAAGACTAATTCATGCATGGAAACTCTTGTCCTCACTGAACTCTGTTCCTACTGTTGTGTCTTTACTGGAAATGGCGTTCACTCATTGTATAACTGGGAGGAGCTGTTTCTGTGATGCATAGATTCAGCTGTTTGATACAGTAGTACTGCAGATGAATTCCGTTTAGTGCTGGAGCTACTGGGATGGGGAACTCTTTCCATC